CAACAAGATGCACTGGCCAAGTAACAGCATCGATGGATTCAAGCGTGGCAATAGTAGTGAGGTTGGCCCAGGATCATTCTGCTGTGCTTAAGGTCACTATGAGTTGGTACTGACTCAATGGCATCTAACAACAACAACGACATTATTACTGTATGGTGGTGGTGGTGTGCCATAGAGTCAGTTCCAACTCACAGCAATCCTGTGTAAGGTATCCAAGGTTGTAAATCTTTACGGGAGCAGAAAGCCTCATCTTTCTCCCATGGAGTGGCTGGTAGTTTAGAACTGCTGACCATGAAGTTACCAGCCAGACTCTTAACCACTATGCTACCTGAGCTCCTTATTGTGTAGTTGTTTTATTTCTCTTTTCTATTTTGCTAACATTTGTTTTATGTATTTTGAAGTTCTGTCATTGGGTGCACAAATATGATGGGGCTTCCAAAAGTCAGTGAGAAAATGGAATTAAAAGATAATTGGATTTTCCCATGAACTCTTTGGAACACCTTATATTTATTAGGATTATATCCTCTTTTTGGAGTCCTGGTGTGGCACTGTTGGATAAAGCACTAGACTACAGGGTCATTTGAATCACAAGGTAGGCAGTTCAAACTCACCAGCCACTCCTTGGAAACCCTATACAGGGTCGCTATGTTGTTGTTGTTGTTGTTGTTATGTGCCATGGAGTTGGTTCCAACTCATAGCAACCCTGTACAGGGTTTCCGAGGCTGTAGTTGGAACCAATTCAACAGCACTTAACACCAACACAACATCCTCTTTTTTTATTCACCTCCTCATTATACTGCCCTTCCTTGTCTTTTATGATGGAATTTTATTTAAAGTTCATCTTATCAGAGATTAGTATTACCACTCTTGCTCTTTTTAACATTCCTGTTGGCTTGATTTGATTTTTAACTCATTTAGGTACGTGCTACAAGGAAGGGATGGTCACCACCAGAGTTTAAAAGGTAAGATTTCAAGAGCAGTCCAGGACTGCTCAGAGGAATGGACTACTGGTCTGGAGACAGGCTTAGGTGGACAGGGACACTACAGCTATGACCACTCAGTAGGTGTAGGGGTTAGGAATTACAGGTGGAGTTTATATGGAAGACAAGGCTTGAACCATAGTCCCCATTGGCGAGGGTTGAAGGGATAGATGGATTCATGCCTTTAGTCAATAGAAGTGTCAGGGAAGGGAAACCGTCTTCTTCTGGTCACTTTCTAAGGGCATCAGGACCTGGTTGCATTCAAGTGTGAGGAGTTGAGGGCTGCCTGTAGTCTAGTTGGGTGAGAAGGCTATTGCTTCATACATGCCATCCTCCCTTGTGGTCAGGGACCACTGCTCTTGAGTAAACCTATCTCTGGATACTAGTTTCCTCCCTATTTTGTGGGTGCCAGGATCCCTGGAACTCTCATTGTCCCTCCTGTACTTTCTCTCCTTAGTTCTGTATCATGACCTGCTTACCTTGATTCTTCCAGGAATATCTACTGAGTTCCTCTGTTTCTTGTTGAGGATGCTATGAAGTTGGTGAAGCTGTCTTACTATGCTTCTTATCTGGGATCACTGCTGGCTTTGTCTCAGAAATGCCACACTAAGCTGGGATGGTTGGTAGAGTTACTCTGTGTCCCTCCTCATTTACTACATTCATTCAGTTTCTCCTTATATTGGTGTTTTATTCAATTCTTTATTCTTTCTTCTGTTGTTCAGGATTTCATAATTGTCATCTGCATTTGTTTTACTTTGTTTTTTGGGCGTTTGCTGTAGAGGGATGGCATGGTGTGTCTGACTAAGACCACCATCTTGGTTCCTCCCCTCAATCAGCATATCCTTAAATAAACTAAACTACCAGCTATAGAAAGATTGAAAACTAAAACGGCAATTTCTCAGAAAAGGAATATGCTTCGAAACCTGCTCTTAGTAAAATACAAAATTTCTGTTATTTTCACATTTTTACTTTCAACTCTCATAAGGATTATTTCAAAACTTCTTCTCTAGTTATGAATCCCTACTTGTGCTCTAATCTGGTACCATGAATCAGATATAACTCCCTTCTAATTTAAAAAAAAAAAAAAATTCAGAGAACTCTATGTAGTGATTGGATAGTTATTAGGTAGGTAGTTAATTACTTGTTAGATACTTAGAAACACTTTTACAGACAGGGCACTATAAAAAACATTTTTAGGGGCCAGGAATCACATGCTATCTTAATTCCTATGTTTTATCCAATCATGATAATCCCATTTCCCTGGTAAAGTGCCAACCCCTGAGATGGCTGGCAGATACCAACATAGTAATAATAGTTAACCAGCTGTCTCTCACCTTCCACATCTCTTGGGTGTAGAAACCTGTGTCAGCTCTTCCTACCTGCAAGGGTCATGGAACAGCTCTTAAAGGGGCTTCGATGAGGTTCCACTCAACCAACCTTGCTTTAAGTTAGCACCCTGTATCCCTGCAACAAAACTTTCTCTTCACATATGTTTCTTTAAAAATCTTCTCTTTATAAATACTGTCATGAGACAGTAATGTCTCATATTGCAAAAATGGGTGAGGGAGTTCAAGAGACACAGAACTAGTTCTGGGGTATTTTCTTTGAAATAGTCATATGGTCTGGCTTCCACAACTTTGGTATCTAGACCTACTATATCTTGGCATATAAGCCCAAGCTTCTAAAATTAGCATCCTGTCACAAATTACATGTATTACATAAAGAGAAATAAAATGTTCTTATTGGATGAAGAACATAGTCATTCAGAATATATTATATCCCCACCCAAATATTGACTATAGAAATTTCAGGTAGGGTAACTGGGACAATCACATGATTGGGTCAGTCATGAGACCGTGCAACCAAACAGCATAAGGATGGCCATCATTGTCATGTTAGTCTCAAAAGTTGCATTCATAGTCTATTCAGAAAGTTAGAAAAACAGATATGCCAAGATAAGATAAATATTAGATATCTATTTTACAGTACCACATAGTACCACATAGCATCACATAGTACTACCACCATGATGTATCCTTAGAAGTAACATGAAAACATTTATAGCCACCTAGATTAACATAGGGTATGGTGGTGGTTCCGTGGGGGAATTCTCTCCTTCCACACAAGAACTCCTAGCCACTGTACCTCATGTACAGTCAGTCACCTCTCAACTGTCGATGAAGGTTTGTGTCTTACTGTGATGCTCAGCAGGTTCGAATGCAGCTTCTAGACTAAAGTAAACTAGAAAGAAAGCTCTGGCAATTTCAACTTATCAGCCAATGAAACCCTATGAATACTTGTCAGATGTGTAACTAATCACGGATGGCACAGAACTTAGCATTTTGTTCCTTTTTGCATAACGTGACCATGAGTTGGAGGCCAATTCAACAACAGCTAACAACAAATTAATCTACAATTTACAGTATAAGGGGATAAAGTACAACGACAGTATGTGCAATCCATGAAAATGTCTTTTCCTAGGTTTCCTATATTTAGAGGATATTGGCATGACAAAAACTGAATGTAAATTTTCAAATAAGCACAGTAATTTAAAATATTTCCATTCAGATCTGTTAAAACCGGTCACAAAGGTTCCATGTACTAATCCAATTACTAATATAATGTACTAAGTTCCAGCATATGAATTTTAAGGTCTGTACCATGAATTCTACTAACCTCACTAGCTATCTCTGAAGCTTTTTTGGCCCGTTGTATTTCAAGGGTGTCAGTGCCGACTTGCATTCCCTTCCCTTTAATCATTAACTCCAGGTCTTTCTTATATTCTTTCTGTAAAAGACAACATTATACAACATTCAGACACTCCATGGACAAACATTTATCTCCTTCAGTAAAAGTGACAAATGGTTAAACATTAAAACAAAGAAAACATAACTCATTCTGTACTATGAATGATCACCTAGAAACAAAATTTTCCAAATTGCTTATTCTCATTGAAGAAGGGTATGCAAAGCTCTATAAAGATTTGTATTTTAAAAAAGCAATTGCCAAAGTGAGAATATTGGCTGACAACTGTCTTGGGGTTAGGGGCTAAGTGCCAGGGAGTTGGGGTATAAATAGGTTGATGTAGGAGCAATAAAACTGATTTTGAGCCCAGATCATTCAGTAGCTAGCTGTGTGATGCTAGGATTGTCTCTCAACATTTCTGAACCTTGGTTTATTCATCTAAAAATGTAGATAATAATACCTTCATGCTGGATTACTGTGAGAATAAATAAGGCACATAGCATAGTGTTCAGAGTGGGCACTCAGTAATTGAGAGTTTATGTGATACTATTTTGCTATCCTCTTATACTGGTCCTTTGTAATAAGACCCAGTTTATTGGTATTCCTGCCCCCTTTTTGCTATTAAACTGCATTTGACTAGTATCTGCTATGGAGAATTTTTCCACATTAATGACAAGTTATTACAAAATTTTACTCTGAATATAGACTGCACATATCACCACTTAACAAAAGAATTTGTGGAAAAGGTATCCCATAATGACAATGTCAGCCAAAGGTATCTCAGTGGACAACTGTTCTTTTCACCAGACCAGATCCATTTTCCATTTCCCAGCAAAGACTAACACAATTTTCTTTTGGAGAATTGCCTCTAACTGCTCTTAATCCATATACTTTGGGATGGTTTGATTTCTACCTCCTTCCTACTCACATTTTTTAGTTGTACTAAAGTATTTTTAATATCTCTTCTAGCCTATTTCAAAAACATTAATATAGCAAACAAAAATCCACTGCCAAGTCAATTGCAACGTATAGCCACCCAATAGGGCAGAGTAGGACGGTTTCCTAAGGTTTCCGAGGCTGTAAATCTTTTAAACGAGCAGACTGTCGCATCTTTCTCTCTCTGAGCTGCTGGTTGATTTGAACTGACAACTTTTCAGTTATCAGCTCAATGCATAGCTGAATGTAAATTTAAAAAGGAAAAAAAAAAATGACCAGTTTGAATAGTTTAAACCTAAAACACTTAAACTGCTTGGATTGTTGTTGTTGTTAAGTGTCCTTGAGTCAGTTCTGACTCATAATGAAGCTGTATAGGATTCCCATGAAGTGGCTGATAAGTCTGAACAGCAAACTTAACAATTCAAACCAACTTTACTGTCTAGAGCATTATTATCCCACAGCGTCACACCAGAACTCCTAAACTGCATAGATAGTTAATAAATTGGTTGTCATTCGACTCAAACTAAGTCAGCTGGCATATTATACTCTCCAACCTCAGGACACAATGATTAGGTCAGGAGTAGGCAATTTGTTGAGGTTGATCCAATTCTTTAATCAGAATTATGAGAAAACATGCTCGCTGGGATTGAAACTAATTATTAAGTTGATAGCAGGAGCTAGCTCATGGAGCTATCCGTCCAAGAGTGAAGCCAAAAGAGAAGACAACAAGATAAAAGAAAGGGAAACACTGACATCATTTTAATTCTAGCCTGAAGTAAACTTGACATCAGGCCTTTCCCATTCCATGTTGTTGTTGTTATGAAGTGCCGTTGAGCTGGTTCTAACTCATAGCAACTCTGTGTAGGTTTCTAAGAAGCATCTAGTGCATCTAACATTACATGACAGTCCATTTCTTTTGTTGCTTAACATCAGTTGAGTTGTGTTTCTGTCATGCTCAGCCTAACTAGTAGGGTCAGTAGCAGCACAGTTTATTAACATATGGGGACGAATCTTTAATTTTTTCACTGACAAATTCAACTGATTTCCCCTCAAACCACAAAGCCATTATTTAACACCAAAGCAATAATATAACATAAGGATTAAAGGACAAAAGCACCTTGGAGATATTTCATTCCTTCTTATAAAGTTCACATGAAGTGAGTAATAGCCACTTTCATTTAATAAAGAGGTTTATCTAGGTTCATTCAGTAATCTGAGTGGGGCCTAGGGGAGTCTTATTGGATTATGACCAACAGAGCAGGTGAGCTTTATAACTGCAGCTACTGATAGACCACGGTTGCATATGTTCCCAAACTGCCACCTTCATAAACTTGGAAGATCAAATCCAGTCTCATGCAAAAATTTTAGTTTAGGTTGTTGTTGTTGTTGCTATGTGCCATGGAGTCGGTTCCAACTCATAGCGACTCTGTACAGGGTTTCCGAGGCTGTAAATCTTTATGGGAGCAGAAAGCCTCATCTTTCTCCCACGGAACAGCTGGTGGTTTCGAAGTGCTGACTATGAGATTAACAGCCCAATTCATATTCACTTTAGGTATCATCCACATAAAAACTCTTGTATAAATTTTCTCTCAGATGAGGAAAGGGCCATTTTTTAAAATATCACACAGAAAAGGTCACTAAGCATCTTCATTTTGTTTGTTATTCAATGACTAGGGAAAGACTGATAGAAGATAGCAGCTTGCAATCATCTGCATGTAAAAGTTGTGGAATACGCATTATCTGTGAGAAAGATTTACAGATAAGGAAATTAGTTGACTATTCATACATTCTATGTTGTACGTAAATATACTCACCTCACTAGCCATTTCAGAAGCTCGTTTTGCTCTTTGAATATCAAGAACTTCTGAATTAAGTTCCATTCCTTTCCCTCTGATTTCATTTTCCAAATCTTTCTTATATTCTTTCTATGAGACAAGAATATTACAGTTCATTATTTACTGGACAGCAAGTTATCTCCTGTACAGTTTTACCTGCTTACTACGGACCATAGTAGAAAGTATTTCTAGAAAGAATGAATCAGATTGTTTCTTGCTCTTTATTCCCTACAGAGAGTTTATTTTCTCCTCTAATCATGTTTAGAGTGGCTTCAAAACTATCCTTTCTCCCAATATGTTTTGGTATCATATTGGATTTTTTTTTTTTAAGATACCATTCCTTGAAATGGTGAGGAAAATCTTAGGAATGAATACTAATTAATTATTTGAAATGTTTCTTTGAAACCTTTCTATAAAACATTAATAACCCAAAGAATATATTGAAAAAATTGCAAAATCAAAAGGACTGATGTAACCAGAGTGTTTTGGCTTCTTTCTTTTTGTTCTTTTTTTTAAAAGTTCCATTATATTTATACTTTGGTCATGTTATCAGGAGGAACCAGTCTCTGGAGATGGACATCATGCTAGGTAAATGAGGGTCAGTGAAAAAGAGGAAGACCCCCAACAAGATGGATTGGCACAGTGGCAGCAGCACTACGTTCAAGTGTAATGATTTTGCAGATGGCACAAAACTGGGCAGTGTTTCATTTTGTTGTACATAGTGTCCCTATGAATCAGAACTGATTCAATGGCACCTAACAGCAACAACTATATTCAAAAATTTGAGAAAATAAGTAATTTCCTACAGCTTGATAATATATCATTTAGAATTTCACCTCTTTTAATATTTGACTTTGTTGTTGTTGATAAGTACTTTTGAATTGGTTCCAACCCATAGCAACTCTGTATAGGGTTTCCAAGGAGTGACTGGTGAGCTTGAACCACTGACCTTGCAGTTCAAACCAACTTGGAAGTCTATCTAGCACATTAACCTGCAGCACCACACCACAACGCCAATATTTGACCTTAAATAGATTCAAATGTTCCTTATTAAGAATTAAATATAATTTATTTTCTTGCTAATTTCATAAATTTTTTTCTAAGTAATTGTATTACGAAAACAACATCAATCTTATTCCCATACATCTAAGTTCCATTTATAACTAACTTGCAGCAGGAAGATGAAACATCTTTTACTGATAATAAATGGGGTTCTAGTAATTCTAGGGTTCATTTCATGTTGTTTTATGTTTGCCCCGTATAATTAAATTAGTTGGCCCTATGCTTAACTAATAGCCTACTAGCTGTTGCATGTAATTTTGGAAAGAGCTCTGGAGACAGAGAACCTAGGTGGAAGCCAGAGACCTTGCAATTATTTAGTCACATGACCTTCAGGAGACCGTTAAATAACTGAGTCTTGATTTTCATGTTGGCAAAATGAAAATAAAAATAGGTTCTCTGCCAATGTCCAAGGGCAATTAGGGGAATCAGATGAAATGAAGTATAAATGATGCTTGGAATGCTTTAAATGGTTCTGCAAATGTAAAAACCATAAAGACAACACTACATGAAGTCAATTTAAAGCAAAATGCTTACACATCGAAAGGGAACTCACAATTTTATTAAGTCACTAAGAAAACATTTTTCTAATCAGGCATCTCTCTAGCTTAATTAAAAGATTTTAAATCATACTCTTCTGAGGTTTTTCCTATCCTGATTCTTAATCCATAAAGCCCATTCTAAAAGAATACAGGAGAAAAAGCAATAGTATGCTCGCTAAACTCACTTATGGATCTCAAAATAGAGTTCACATGTCACTTGTATGTAAACGAGGAAACAATTTCCCTTTAAAAAAACAAACAAACAAATTATGCATAATTTTAAAATGAAAGGTGACAAGATTAGGAAGTTTCCATTTGCTTTAAATGATTTCCATTTGATTAAAAGGCAACATTGGCCTCCAATTGAGACCTAGCAGGGAGGGAAAAAAATTCTCATTATAAATTATTGTTAGTAGGGAAAAAATTCAACTGCACTTGAACCTAAGGATCCCCAAAAGAGAGGATATAGGTGGTTTTTTTTTTTTGCTTACTGGCCATCTATTCCTTGTCTGAGAGTGTTTCAACATTCAGAAAACTCACAGGAACTGGACATGAGTAAACATACAGTAACAAGAGATTGTCTTCAGAAACTACATGCTTGTTTCAGCAAACATACAACAGTGAGTCATACTGAATTCTGAAAAGTATTTAAATAATATAGGACAATTGCCATTTTCTTATTACAGAAGTTAATGATCATACGACTCTATATAGTAATTAGTTTCTATTTCACTGGTTTAAGATAATTCTTTCAGGAACAGTTTCTTCATTTCAAAAATTCATGATGAACTCAATTCTAACATATTTTCCTAATGTAAGCATAATCTTGTCAAACAGCCATTGAAAGAAAGATTTGAAAGGGATGGACTATGAGCATGATATGTTTAAGTGTTAGTTTTAAGGGCTTAATATTCATAAATTCAACCTATTAATTTTGAGCCTAAATGCACCTTTAAATTTGAAAGTAAAAGCCTCTGTAGAATATATTAAAATGCACAATGAACATGTGTTCCTGTGTTCTGTATGTTAGATAAACAATTTTCCCTAGTTAATTCTTTTCCCTCACTGAAACACAAAACTCTTACAATGTACCATTTTTTTGGGCCTTCAAATGCGAGCACTTAATTTCTTTTATCAGACATCCAAAGAGACTCTGCAGAAAGCAAGCTCATTCTTATATACATTTTACAATACCTCAAACCTGAAAGAATCAAGCTAGCCCCATATTCAAACTATATATGTTTTAAAATAATTCCTAAGAAGTTATAAAATTAATTACTTATAAAACTTCTGAGGTACAACCAAAATACAAAATCAGAGTATAAGTTCTTCCAGAAAATCTGGATAATTCCTTCCTGTAACTGTCAAGGGACACATTAACACACATTTTCCTGTTTTTAATGATATAGAACTTATGAAGTAAAGGTTAAAGTGAGAAAAAGAGTAAGGGGTTAATATCAGAAACACTGAATTAATTGAAAATTGTGAAGAATAGATATCTCCCGGGTTTTTTTTTTTTTATCTATTTCTCATTTAAAATATCTGATGAAAAACTGAAGGCCCATACCTCCTTCAGAAGGCCGTTGATGTACTTTATATGTAAAAATTCTGGAGTCTTGTCTAAATCCAGTGATGACCTTCCTTTAATTTCCTTCTCAAAATTCTCTCTGTAAACTTTCTATTAAATAAAACAACATCATAATTTTAAATGTAGACAATATTAGTGATTATTGAAACTATGTTAAAAGACGAGGTCTCATAACAATTCTGGGGTTTTCAAAAATAAGTAATTCTAATTTTATTACAAATTCTAGAATTCAACCATACAATAGCTAAAGCATACTATTAGAATTCTGAGCTCTGCCAGTAGCTTCAGTACAGCATAAATGATAAAAGCAACCAGAACGGATTTCCTGTAACATTTTAATATGATGTTCACACAACATCCATATCACATAATGTCCTATTTCACAGAACTATCATGAATGTTGGAGTCCAGGTATAGTGCTGTATGATAAGCACTGGACCGCAACGTCGGTGGTTCAAACCTATCAGCCACTTCTTGAAATTCTTACACCCAGTCATTATGAGTTGGAACTGACTCAACAGCACTAACAACAAGCATGAATGTTAAGTAGTACACACCTGTATATAGTTCTTCAGGTACATCCATAACAAGAAGTGAAAGGAAAGTGCTCACAATGACTGTGGAAGTCCAAAATCCATACCCCTATCTACCCCTATGACAACGTCAACTACCCTTACCCATGAATCTCGAAATTCTGGCCTTTGAGATACTTACTTGAAAATCAGTGGTAATGCATGCTTTAGGACTATTAAACTAGTCTCTCTAAATTAAAAAACAACAACAAAAACTTATTCACGTGATAGATTTACCTGACAAACAAGTGATGAAATTTTTCTAGCCAAATATTTTATTCAAATTGTATTACAGATGGTGAAAAAAAAAAAAATCATCTACATGAGATTGTTATTAATGCAAAGTGAGAAGCTGTTTCCAGGTTCATTTTAGACTTATTACAGAGATAGGACTGCTAACCACAAGGTTGGTGGTTCAAACCCTTCAGCCACTTCTTGGAAATCCTATATAGGGCCACTGTGAGTCAAAACCTACTTAAAGGCACTTAATAACAACAGAGATGAGTAATAAGTAAATAAATAAATTCTCACGACCATGAGAGAAGATAAGAGAATAATGTGTCACTTGACACTTTATGTATGGCTATTTGGTGTGGCATTTTGGCATAAAGCACTGGTCTGCAAGGCAAGTTTGAACCACAAGGTCGGTAGTTCGGTGGTTCAAACTCACCAACTAGTCCTTGGAAATCCTATACAGGGCCGCTATGGGTCAGAACTGACTCAGTGACACTTAACAACAAATTAACAGATAATGTATATAAAGCTATGAGAAAATGCCATAGAAATGGTTTATAAATACTAAGTTCTAACAAAGTGAATAGGAAGTTGTGATGAGAACATCATGAATTAAAGGAAATATAGATACACTAAAGAACAATGATGAGAAATCCTCTTCTTCTTTATGGGGAACTATGCAAGATAATACTATAAAAATAGGGCATCTCCAGGTCCCAAATATGTGTGTGAATACATGGGTAGGTAGACAGACAGATAGATAGTATTTCCCTTTTTAAAAAACACTTCTCTGAAAAATCCTAATTTACTAAAGAAAATCTTTAAGGATGGTTGATTATGGACTCGAACTGACCAATATAGAAAGGGGAAAGAAACACCTTTGGAGAGCTGTATTTGTGAAACAGAACACCAAAACAAAAATAAAAAATAACTTTTAAAAGCTAGATTTAAGGATTTACTCTAAAAACCACCGTGATTAATACTGCTAACCTCAGGGTCAGCAGTTCAAAACTACCAGCTCTTCTGAAGGAGAAAGATGAGGCTTTCTGCTCCCGTAAACATTTACAGCCTCAGAAACCATGTACAGGGTCGCTATGAGTAGGAACTGACTCCACGGCACATACCACCACCACCAACATGGCATAAGAAGAAAGTAAGATAAACATAAATGAGGCCATTACAAAAATGTTATTGTTAAGTGCCATCAAATTGGTTCTGACCCATAGCAACACTATACAGTGTGTCCAAGGAGTGGCTGGTGAGTTTGAACCACCAAACTTGTTCAAACCCACTTTGCAGTCCAGCACATTAACCCACAGTGCCACACCAGGATTCATTACAAACACAGTAGTGGCTTTTTATAAAATCATACTTAGCTTTAAATGTATCCTGCATCTCAAGAATATTATAGTTAAGCTTACCTCTTAAGAATAAAACCACCTCTAAGATGATTCCCTTTGTGTCTATTTTGTTTTTGTTTTTATTTTTGTTTTCTTTCAAGTGCCATCAAGTTGGTTCCAACATATAGCAAGTCTGTATAGGGTTTCCAAGGAATGGTTGGTAGGTTTGAACCGCCAACCTTGTATCTCAAACTGCCTTTGCAGCCCAGCATATTATTCCACAGCACACACCAGGATTCTACTTTATTGATCCTATATTTCATGACATCTTTCACATCACATTAATCTAACTTAGGGTTTTTGTGGGGGTTTTAGCATTTAGAGTATAAACTCGGTCCAATGATATTTTCTATCTGAAGATGTCTCTCTCTTCAAGCCCTGTTGAGCAAAACTGTAATTGTTGAGTCTAAAAAGCTAAGAGCCAGTGGCTATAACTAAAATGAATACACATCTCACCCTTTGCAAAGGATAATTCACAACAGTCTCACAGAGTCCCCAGTTTAAATTAATCCCCAAACATACAACCAATGTTGTTGTCGTTAAGTGCCATCGAGTCAGTTCCGACCCATAGCAACCCTGTACAGGGTTTCCTAGCAGCAACTGGTGAGCTTGAACCATCAACTGTGAAGCTCAAATGACTTTGCAGTCCAGCACATTAACCCACAGCACCACACCAGGACTCCTCATACAACAAAGCTGTTTACACCTGTTGGCAAAACAGTTCATCTAAAGTAATGAATTCATTCACTTGAGTGATTTTCGTTTTTTGTTTTTTTTTTATGTTTTCAGCATTTTATTTTCCTTTTGTATCACATAGACAAGTAATGCACAGGACTGGGCAGTGTTTCATTCTGTTGTGCATAAGGTCTCTATGAGTCAGAGTTGATTCCATGGCACCTAACAGCGGCAGACAAATAATGGTGAAAATGAACTGCTAGTCACAGCAAACCTTCAAGTTCTACACAAGGAAGTCGATCTGGGCCGAAACGATCGCTGTTTTTCAGTTCCAAGAGTATCTTTAAAGATACTACTACCGATATGGAATTTGGCTTGGAGAACCTTTTTGCTTTTGTGGGTCCTTCCATAATGAGGAAACAATAATAATAACTAAAGTTTGGTTTTCACAACTTAGTCTGCTTTTCTCCAATGACTTTGAGAAATGGATATGATGTTTATGGTTTTAAGTTTGGAGACTATCAGATTACTTCCATGAGTCTGTGCTTCTCAAAGTGTTGTTACAGGACCACATGCCCATCAGAAATTCCTAGGAGAGTTGTTAAACTATGAGCCCATGTGCTCTAGCAAGACCTACTGAACCACACTCTCCTCAGGCAGAAACCTGGGACTATGTATATCAAATAAGCTTCCTGAGGGACTTATCCACAATCGAGTTTGAGGAATGCCTCCATAAAGGATAAAGGAGAGAGGAAACACTGTAGTCAGAAGATGTATGGAGAGAATTAAAAAGATGGAAAGATCAAGGGGGGAATGTTCCCCTTTGGGAATAAGACAAGGGAAGTGCAGGACAAATAACAGCAGCTTGGAACTGCATAGAAGAAAACCAAATAAAAGTAATATAGCAGGTGGCATGATTATTGGTGAGAACCCAGGAAGCAGGAGCAAGAGCTGGACCAGCACCCACCACCAACCACTGCCATCCAGTGGATGCTGACTCAGCATCCCTACAGGATACAGAAGAACTGCTCCTGAGGGAGTCCAAGACTTCAAATCTTTATGGGAGCAGACAGCCTCATCTTTCTCCTGTGGGACAGCTGGCAGATTTCAACTTCAGACCTTTTGAATAGCACCCCGGTGCTTAACCCACAGCACCACCATGGCTCTTTAAGATCTGGATCGTGAGCACTAAATATATAGGACAGTCTGGAAGCTCAACACCAGAGCTGAAGTCCCAGCCCCATTATAAACCAATGACGTTAGCTGGGCTCAACCACTTAACCTCCTCAGCCTTGAGAAGGGAATATGAAGACCCCATTCATAGGGTAGATCTCAAGTTCAACTGAACAGGAGAGAAAGCACTGTCAAGTCAGAAAAAACCTGGGGAAAAGCCTGGAAAAACCAAAGCAAGCATCCAGGAAATGGATGTCATTCAGCAGGAGTGAGAGAATAAATTGGGTGAGAAAAGAGATTCTATAATGAAAAGATGGGGATTTTAAAAAATCCCAGATCCTAAAATAGTTATTTTGAATTCAGAAACACCTGTATTAGAATCTATGAATCAAGAATTTTAGTTCCAGGATTTGCAGGTGAGAGAAAACTAAACAAATTAGAGTAGAAAAATATCCAAGAAGCTCAAAAATCAAAACTCAGGGAAAGAGGTAAGTAGAGATGGAGGCAAAAGAGGGCCTGGATAAAATTAGGAAAAATCTGAAAAGCTGATCCCACCTTCTTGATTGTGTTCAGAACAATAAAGTGATTTTTGAACTCTATGTCTAACAGGAGTCATGGTATGGAATGGTAAGATAAAGCACTGGACCTCAGGGTCGGTTTGAACCCTAAGTTTGATGGTTCAAACTCATCAGCCGCTCCTTGGAAACTAACTATTCAGGGTCACTAAGAATCAGAACTTACTCAACAGCACTTAACAACTCAATGTCTAAAATCACTTTTTATTCTGTGTTATAGTCATATACTGTTAAGCTTCCAGAGAACAAACTAAGTGAAAGTGCCTTAACAGCTCAGGAAAGTAGAAAGTTTTCTCTGGACTGTAGATCAGTAACAACCGCCACATTACTCCTCTAAGACAGGGTAAAATGAATTAGAAATGTGGCTCTCGTCCCCACCAAAAATAGAGAGAATATAAAGGGTGAGTCCCTTGAAGGGTAAATGGTTAACACTCTTGGCTGTTAACCAAAAGTTTGGAGGTTTAAATCTACCCAGAGGCATCTCAGAACAGAGGCCTGGCAACCTACTTCTAAAAATTCAGCCATTGATTTTCTACTCTGACACACATAGGCTCACAACGAGCAGGAGTGGACTTCATGGCAACTAGTTTTATTGTTTTTTGTTATTAACGTAAAGGATTCATACAATACTTACATAATGTTCTCTAAATGCAGAAAAATCATTCCATTAAAAGATATTGCATTAAACATAAGTTTCTGTAAAGCTTCTTAAGTTTGTCCACGTTTACTAGTTCTGTCAATTCAGTTAAAACAAAAGTATTTACCCAGGTGTTTTTGGTCAAATTCTCCTGTATAGGTTTGAAAAGTATGCTACATGAAAAATATGGTAGAAATTACTATTTTCTCCTCTCTTGTTTGAAGATTAAATTTACCACCTTTGACCATAAAACAAGTCTTAGTAATGTGCCCTCTTCCCAAGAAGATGAATTACATTTCAACAAATAGCACAAATAATATTAAAATTTCTATGGAACTTTCTTGTGTCCAGAACTCAAAATTTACCTATTCCAATGTTATTTGATAACAGAAAAGATGATGCTCACTGAGGTATTGATGCATCACCTACTATTTTTGTCCCTTTAAAGTAATAAACCCATTTACCAACAGAATTTGGATGGGGGCTGCAGACAAAATCTTCTGTATTTGACTGCCAATAAAATAGGGAAACAAAACAACAAATCTCACTGAGATGGAGAGAAGTCAGAGTGAATATTGGCATTATTTTAAGTAGAAAATAAAGTGGAAACATAGAAAATACTCAATCTCTGCCCTTAAAATTTTAAAATTTGTGTCACTGTCTATTGGGAGGTACAGGGATATAGGAAGGAATCAAGTTATAACAGAAATAGGAATAACTCATTATTTTGACCAGGATGTAAAATATTAGCATTTACTGAATGTGCAATTTTAGGTAAGATATTTGATTTTAGTATATGCACTTATAAATTTAAGTATGATACCTACCTTGTATTATCATTTTGAGGATTAAATGAGATGACATATATAAAGTACTTAGCATGTTGGTGTCAGTTCCAACTCACAGCAACACTAAGTTTCCAAGGTTCCCAAGGAGAGGCTGGTGGGTTTGAACCAGTGGCCTTGTGGTTAGCAGTCTAGTGCTTATCTTACAGCACTACACCAAGACTCCAGCTTAGCCTATTACTAAGCAAATAATTCTTATTTGCTAAATAATGCTGCTTTCATTGCAAAAAAAAAGAATCCAGTTATTCATTTTCTTTTAAATTTTTATCTACTCATCATGGTTTTGTGTTGACACAACCTAAAGTGTCAATTTTATAGTCATGGAATATTAGAGCTGAGAGAAACTTTTAGAAGACATCTAGCCTGGTATCCCTATTTTCCAAGACAAAAATTTTAAGAAACCCAATACCCTGAACAATATCTTCAGAGGTGGTACGCTTGGTCTAAGCTGCAGAACCCTGATTTTCCTAGTTCCAGGTCTTGTCTAGACTCACTAGGCATTTGCCACCACTTTTGTTGATTCCTTTCAAATGAAAAGCATCAACTATATGTTGAGTAATTGATAATAAACCAAAGCGACCCACCTCACTTTGCATCTTTTGAGCCTCCTTGGAAGCTTGGTATGATGGTGTCTCCACAAATTCAAGCATGGATTTACCCTTGTTTTTCTCATAGTCTTCTTTGTATTTAACCTTAATTGAAAAAAAGACAGAAAATATATAGAGATCTCAAAAGTTTTGATACAAGCAGAGTAAAATAAAATATAAACTCAAAATTCATCACCCAATTAGGGGGCTAACTAGGTTTTCCGTGGTTAATGTCATACAAAGGAAAGAAGCAACTGGTAGTGGTGGTGGTGATTATGTGCTGTGGAGTCGGTTCCGACTCATAGCGATGCTGTACAGGGTTTTCAAGGCTGTAAATCTTTATGGGAGCAGAAAGCCTCAACTTTCTCCCATGGAACAGCTGGTAGTTTCGAACTGCTGACCTGGCGGTTCACAGGCCGATTTGTAACCACTATGTTAAGGTCAGCGGTTCGAAACTACCAGCCACTCCGTGGGAGAAAGATGAGGCTTTCTACTCCCGTAAAGATTTACACCCTCGGAAACCCTGTACAGGGTCGCTATGGGTCGGAATCGACTCGACGGCACTTAACAACAACAACAACAATGCTACCAGAGCTCCTTCAAGAAGCAAGAAGTATATAAAAATCTTCTGAGGTGATAAACATAATTTACAATCGACTCGACGGCACTTAACAACAACAAATAAAGTAGTGCTAGACCTGGTATAAAGCCTTTTGTTGCATAGCTGGGCTTATCTTGAGATATGTTGTTGTTGTTAAATGTCGCTGAGTCAGTTCCAACTCATAGCGACCCTGTACAGGGTGGAGACACAAATAGACATACATAAAGAACAGCTTTGAATGTCTATTAGTAAATCATAGACAAGAAGGAAGACAGAGGTGTGATTATCTTTCTGCCAGACAAAGGACAGGACAACATTTTCTGGGACTGTTGAATTTTTCCATATACACTAAAGCAGAGACAGCGTTTGTATGTGATTTCGTTTAGCTTCACTATGCATTATTTAATAACATTGTATTGTGAATTATTGACTCCAATGACAATCCTTATCATATTCAAGCTAATAGGATGATTGATATTTTCTATCTACTCATAACAAAAAATAAAGTTATATAATCTTCCAGAATAGCACTCTTTTAGTTAAAAACCTCTTTTTAAATTAAGCTCATAGAAGAGTTTGGGTCATGATTAATTTAATTCAGAAACGCATTTTCATTAAAATTTTAATGTGTCTAGTAACTACCCTGTAATTTAATCACTTTTATATGAGCAATAATGTTAATGATAATTCAATCCAAAAGAAAAATTTCAATACAAAACATTTTCCTTGCTTGTAGTTCAACCTTGCACCTGGATAATTAATCTTCATCCTGAGGTCTGACCGTCATTTCATTAGTTCCTATTCTTTTCAGCTCTGTCTGTTCTCTGATGAAGAGGTACAGCACAGTGAGCAGTGGGCATCAGGCAGAGTCTGAGGTCCTCACTGGGAGAGCAGCACATGTACCATCCATGCGTACCTGGCTCTGGAGCGTGGCATTGCCTTTATGGTGTAGATGTTCCACAGCATCCATGTCAAAATGATACAGCCCTTTATTTTCCTCAAAAATCTTTTTATATTCTCGCTGAAATATAGAACACAAAAATAAATTCAGAATGAAGGAAGCTGATTGATCCCAGAAACTATTACTTAGGAATACAAACTGAAAACACAAACCAAAAAGAGCTGCAAAGCTGTTATTGAGTACCTATCTGCAGCCATCATACAAGATTTCTGAGACTGAGTTAAATAGAAAATATAAGACAGACCAGTTCAGTGTGAGTATCATATTAAAACACTCAAGCTAGGCAGAGGACAATTAGCAGTACACACAACCTAAAAGACACTCACACACCAAGGAGTGGCAACAGAAAAGAAAGTGATGGAATTCATGCAAATAGGCAAGGTGCCAAAACAAAGGCAATTTGTCATGCCCCTATCATAGAACAGGAATGTTTTTAATAGCATCTACAAGAACAGAATTGGGTAGTTTCGGTCTGCTGTGAATAGGGTCGGTGCCAACTCAATGGCACCTAACAACAATAACAACAACAACAACAACAAAAGGAGTCTCTGGGTGGTTCAAATAGTTAAGCATTCAACTACTAACCAAAAGGTTAATAGTTTGAATCCATCCTGAGGTGCCTCAGGGTGATCTAGCAATACGGTCATAACCTTGAAAACCAAACAGAACAATTTTACTTTAGAATACATGGAATCACCAAGTCAGAATTGATTCAACAGCAACTAACAGCAACAACACACACAAAAAGAGAAGGAATGAGCATAAGAAAGAACAAAGGAAATGAAAAGCTGGAGGCAGAGATGAAACATTTTATTTTTAAAAAGCTCAGTCATCAGAAATAGGAGGGGGTAACAAGGAAAATGACAGGATGAGAAATAATTTAATCAATTTTCTAAAAACAAAAGAATAGGAGGTATCAGGGAGGGAAATAGAGTACTTTGCTACATTTTTAAGATAGATCAATTGGATTAAGGTTACTATTTAGATACACAGACAAAAAAAAAAAGTAAATTTGAAAGAGATTGGGATCAATAAAGAAGCCAAGTTCAGCAGCTACAAGGCTTTAGATATAAAAGGCAACAATATAGCATGAATTGCTGCACTGCAGATTGGACACTTAGTTATTCTGCCCTATTTGGAAAAGAAAAATGAAAGTAAAATGGTAACTCTCTAACTCTCAAAGGTACAGAGACAAGAAGCTGAAGTTGGTTGCTCATTAAACATTGATTGAGGGTTTGAGTAACAGTGGCAAGTTTACAAAGAAAACAGGAAAGAGCCCAGCCGTGCCCTCCAAATTCTGTAATCAGAATAAAGGGAGAAAAGCAACCCAGGAAGGTCATACATTTGCTTACATATTAATGAAATCACTTCCAAATTCTAGTTCCTTCAATTGAAAAAAAGATAGTCCCAAAGGATAACAATATACTCAAAAACTTTATCATTGGAGGTGGGGCTTGATGGCAGATCAGGGAGAATGGCAGTGAGGACCTCCGCCAGAGGAAGTATGAAATACCAGACGAAGCAGGTTCAGGAGATGGTCCCAGAACTCTGAACTACATATAAAGGAAT